ATTGATGTCCAGAAACACAGTAGTCAATCTGTGCTTCTGATTAAGACATGATAGAAGCAATAACGTGCTTTTAAAATCATTTTTAAAAGCCTATAAAATTATTTCTGTATTTTTATGATAGCCACATGATATTTACCATCTCATTTTCATAATAAAATTTTCTGCATCTTTTATATCAGGAGAGAATAGTGAATTATTTGGTCTCATTGGGGATTTTATTTGTACTGTTTAAGTAGACATTGTTTAAAAATTATATAAAATGCAGCCAATAGGTTGACACAAAAATGCAATGAGTATTAATGTCAGTGTATATCTTGTTGGTAAAATCACTAGCAACGTGATTATAAGTGAATTAATATGAATTAATAGTGAGGTTAATCAAATATTATCATATATAATATATAATGCATAGCACTTAGTATGTGCCACATGCTGTTCTAATTCATGTATATATACACTTTTATTTTCATAATAATCTGATGAAGTAGGTATAGTTCTTACCCCCATTTTACAGATAAGGAAACTGAACTGCTTACACAAGAACTTGGCTAAAAAACTGTACCACTAAGCCTAGGCAGGTGTATTGGGGATAGTGGAAGACTTCATATAAAAGTAGAAACTTTGTACTGGGTTAAAGCTGTGTGCCAATAACCAGTCATGTGTTCTTTGCTAGATGGGTCAAGACATTGGTTCTTTTTGTTTTGTTTTGCTTTAAGGTACTGACAAAGGCAAACCAGGCAATAAAAAGTTATTGCTCTCTTTAAAGAAGAAGGAAGCTATACACTTGAAGTTTCTATTTCATTGTGGTTCAGTAACAATATTTGGGCTCAAAGGTATGTCCTAAACTCTCCACTTCTTCACTGCCTTAGCACACGTGAGAAACTGGAACCTTTGTAAGTCAGCTGTCATGAAGAAGAGCCTTGGTGAGAAAGATAGGGAGAATGTGTCCTTATAGCCAGAAAACAGGATGCTAACATATCCAAACTTGTCACTGGTCACTATGGAGGAAGCACTGGTGGAAAGTATAGAAACAGTCACAGAACAATAAAATACCCAAAAGTTTGTGATATCACTCATGAATAGTACAAAGCTAAAAAGGCTCTGTAGAACTTTGGCACAAAAGATACAAAATGCAAGCAGGAATTCATACATAAGTAAAGTATTTTCTAGTTTAGAAGGTAGTTCTAGACTCTCAGTCAAGGCTACATACCAATATTATTTTAATTAGTGGATTTTAAATGCCTTATACCTCCATGGATTTAGTTTTAGATTATACAAGATCTTTTCACTTGTGTGCACATTAACCAAAGGCTAAAATCTTATCAATCATAAATGCTTGCAATGTCTTGAGAATTTAAATGACGAATTATTTATTAAGACCTTATTTTTTCTTATGAAAAATCACAATTCTGAAAAATGGTCTAGCAGTTGAATACAACTTGTTGGATGTTATTAGTCAGAGGGATGAGACTTATACAGACCTCCAGGAAAGTAGGACTTGCAAATCTTGGCCTATAAGGTTTCTACCCTTTAACCAATCAACACCCATGCCTGG